GTTTAGCTTCAAACCAGCGGAGTCAGCGAAGACGCCCGAACCGGCATCGGCGCCGGCGTTTAGCTTCAAGCCGGCGGAGCCGGCGAAGACGCCAGAACTATCATCGGCGCCTGCGTTTAGCTTCAAGCCAGCGGAGCCGGCGAAGACGCCCGAACCGGCATCGGCGCCGGCGTTTAGCTTCAAGCCGGCGGAGCCGGCGAAGACGCCAGAACTAGCATCGGCGCCTGCGTTTAGCTTCAAGCCAGCGGAGCCGGCGAAGACGCCCGAACCGGCATCGACGCCTGCGTTTAGCTTCAAGCCGGCGGAGCCGGCGAAGACGCCCACACCTGCGGCTGCGCCTTCCCTGAAGTCTGTAGAGAAGGTATCTTCACTGCAGAGCGAAGCGTTTCGAGTGAAGACTTATTTGGCAACTCCACCGGCGAATCGCGCAGCAGCGAGTGGTACACCCAAGTCTCCAGTTGAAAAGGGAATGGATCTTCTCAAGAAGCTGAGCATCGGAGCCATTGACGTCAGCACTGCCGAGATTGAGCTTAAAGAACTCTTCCTAGAAACGACTCCAGTGAAGAGCTCGAGGAAAGAGTGGTCGAGTGCTATGCCTGAGAAGTTCGCTCCGATCGACACGACGACTTCGCCGGCTGTTGATTTGCACCAGTCTCCGCTTCCTACTTGGGGCAAAAGGCTTATGGAAATCAAACAGTCCAGAGAGCAGAGAAGCGCGGGCATGGAAGCTGACGGGTTGAAGACGATTGAGGATGACATGGCATCCGTGATCGCCGAAGTGGGGGCGATGTTGGACGACGTGTCCGGCGTCACGAAGGAGCTTAACAGTCAGATCGCCGGCGTGCTACCAGGGAAAGTCGACATCGAAAAAATTGAACGATCCGCAGCGTCTATCAAGGCGACGACGGAAACACTCTTGGATGGTAGCGGGACGCTACGAAGTCGACTGAACGAACTCTGGGCCGCAAATTCGGCGGATGAAACTCTGCGATGTGAACTTGAGAGTTTGATTGCGGTGGCGTGCGAAGAAATGGATGAAAGCTCGAGCGCTGAGGATACTCGTGAACTCTCTCCAGCGTTGAAAGAAGTTCAAGAAAACATGCAGACGGACATGCGCAACGTTCTGGAGATGGCTGCAGATCTGGAAACGGCTGTCGAACGGCTCGAGGCTGCGAAAAGAGAGGCAAACAGACCTAAGCCAAAGACGATTATTCGTAGCGGCTTGGTTTCATCAAAGACGGACGCGGCGAAGAGTATTACAGCTCAAATGAATGGAATAATGAAGGCCATATCGACCCAGGCCGCGGTTATCGAGGCACAAGCGGAGAAGTTGGATGCGCTCCTCGCGCGCGTGCAGGATCAAGGCGTGGAACGCGTGCCGATAAAGAAGAGCGTAAAGTTCAAAAATGATGCGGAACCAGTGACGAAAGTCGCCACAAAACCAGAACCTGCTCGCGCTCTAGAACCAATGCCACTCAAGACGCCCGTCAAGTTGACCGCACCAGATGATGACGACGACAATAACGGTGATGTGGAGTCCATCATCATGTCTCGGCTCTCATCGACGAGAATCACGACTGTCAAGAAGAGCGTGCCGTCCCCGAAACCGAAGCCAGCGACGCCGATCAAGTCACCAGCGTTAGCACCACAACCGACATCTGCGGTAAAGTTGTCTGAACCCACAGATGATGCGCCTACGACAGGATTTAGCGCCAATTTCTTGACGAATTCGCAACAAGGGTACGCAGCGGCGCAGAAGGCCGTCGAGGATGACTCGCGAATGGCCGCGCCTCCAACCTTGTCGCAGGCAGCAGTTGTCTCCGCTTCTCCGCCGACGAAGTCCGCTACGTCACCCAGTTTCAAACCAGCGTTCGGCTTCACTCCTGTGCAAGAAGCGAAGACTGAGCAAAAGCCGGCGTTTGGTTTTAGTGCACCTGCAGAGGCCAAGCCAAACTCTTCGGAGTCAAAAGCAGCGTTTAGTTTCGCACCTGCACCGAGCTCAGCAGCTGCGACTGAGTCCAAGCCTGTAGATTCTAGCAAGTCGACGGCACCAATTATGGGTTTCAGTGCAGAATTCTTGGCAAAGGCAAGCAGCGGTTATCAGAAAGCTCAAGCAGCTCTCGAGGATGAGCTGAAGGGAACAACCAGTGAAGAGAAGAAAGCCGAACAGAAGTTTAGTTTTGGTATATCGTCCTCTAGTTCAGCGGCACCTTCGACGACGGCAAGCGGTGGTGTTTTTGGAGCACCGGCTTCGACACCCGCTGGCGGTTTCTCGTTCAGTATTTCATCGAGCAGTGCACCAGCGGCGAAAAATGAAGAAAATGATGCGCAAGTTGCAGCCGCGCCTCGCGCGAGTGCTCCAGCTTTCAGTTTCGCGGCGAAACCAGTCGAGGCAAAACCGGAAGACTCTAAGCAAACGACAGATCCAGCGAAAGGGGGGGAATCAAGGAAGCAGGCTACAGCTGAGGAGAAGGAAGCGTCCGCTCCAATCGCTGCACCTCCGATGAGTTTCAGTGCTGATTTCTTGGCCAAGGCAAATGCCGGGTATTCAGCCGCCCAAAAGGCTTTGGAGGACGATCTTGCGAAGGCCACGCCACCGCCAGGAACGCCGCCGGCGTCTTCAACAAGTGAAGGCGCTTCTCTGGCAAAATCATTCACCTTATCGGGCTCTGAGTCGACGAGTCCTGCGCCGAAGTTTGGAATCGCTCCTGTACCCAAGCCAGCTAGTGCCACGGAGACAACTCCGTCGAAACCTGTGTTTGGATTCTCTTCAAGCCCCGCTACGACGGCAACTACTAGCACATCCACAACTTCGTCCACGACGGGTATTTCCGCCGGGCTCAGTAGTTTTGGTTTTGGAAGTGCGCCGGCGAGCTCGGCAGGGAGCGCGTTTGGTTCTTCCTCTCCTTCCTCAAATCCGGCTTTCGGTGCAACAAACGCTGCCACGGCGAGCACGCCGGCATTTGGTACGATGAGTTCATTTGGGACCACAGCGACAACAAGTGCCCCCGCTTTTGGCTCGCCGTCTGCCTTCGCTACAACATCGAAGACGGCTGCAAGTGGCTTGGGATCAGATGCAAGTGCACAGTCCACTTTCGGCGCAGCGGCCGCATCTTCGGCCGGGTTCGGTAAATCTTCCGGATTTGGCGTATCGGCAACAGCTAGCGCGCCGGCGTTCGGTGCTCCGGCTGCGTTCGGCGCTGCGTCGACGACGAGCGCGCCAGCTTTCGGAGCTCCAGCGGCGTTCGGTGCTGCAGCAACAACTAGTGCCCCGGCATTCGGTGCGGCGAGTGCGATTGGAGCTATGGCGTCGACGAGTACACCCGCGTTTGGCACACCGTCCGCCTTCGGAGCCGCAGCAAGCGGAGGAAGTGGCTTTGCGGCGGCGGCCAGTAAACCATCTGCTTTTGGAGCAGCCGCAGCAACGGCGTCGCCTGGCTTTGGCGCTTCCTCTGCCTTTGGGGCGGCCTCGTTGACAAGTTCTCCTGCGTTTGGTGCATCATCCGGGTTCGGCGCAGCGGCCACTGGCTCGAGCGGCTTCGCTTCGGCTGCGAGCAAACCAGTCGTCTTTGGTGCTGCAGCGGTAACCGGAGGTGGTTTCGGACAGGCTGCGAGTGGTTTCGGCGCATCCACGGGCGGGACATTTGGAGCCGCCGCCACGCAGTCGTCAAGCGGTTTCGGACAATCTGCGAGCGCTTTCGGCGCGTCCACTGGTGGGGCATTTGGAGCCGCCGCCACGCAATCGTCAAGCGGTTTCGGACAAGCTGCACGCGGTTTCGGCTCTGATCAGCCCTCGGGCGGGTTCGGACAAGCGTCGAGCGGATTTGGCCAGGCGTCAGGCGGATTCGGACAGCCAGCCGGAGGATTCGGACAGCCAGCCGGAGGATTTGGACAGCGACCCGCTTCTGGAGGCTTCGGCCAGCCGGCGAGCGGATTCGGCCAGGCACCGAGCGGCTTTGGACAGCAACCTGCTCCTGGTGGATTCGGGCAACCGGCAAGTGGTTTCGGCCAGCCTGCGTCTGGCTTCGGACAACCCCAGTCGCCGAGTGGTGGTTTCGGATCAAGCGACCCGGCTTTTACACAGATGCGCCGCTAGTGGATTTCAGCAATATCGAACGAACGGTGCGGATGAGTTGCGCCACTAGAGAGGGGAAAGAGGACATAGATAAAAACATAGACGAAATTCTAACTCGCGATTCGTTTAACCGGAGACATCTCAAGTCGTTTTACTGATGCTAACTCTTCCATGAGGGAATGATTTTCGCGCATGATACGATGGAACTCTGAGCGCCTCGCCCCCGTTTCTGTTTCCAATTGTCGTCGTAACGCCGCAACCGTCTTCTCGAGATGATCTCTCTGGCGTCTTTCCTCGCTTTCAGTAGCCTCATCTCTCGCCCAATCGATGGTATCATCGGCTGTATACTTATGGTACATCGATTTCACACGCTCCTTCAGACTTTTTGCGTCTTGAATGCTCCCCACACACGTATGTAGATCGTGCTGAAAACGTTTCACGACCGCAGCGGTATGCGCGGTTTGCTTTCGAGTGCGAGCCAAGTCTCGCTGTAACGCATCTCTTTGAGACTTAATATCCCGAACTTGACGCACAAGCGCCGAATTCGAGTCGTAATATCTCTGCAACTCATCATTCATGGTTTCAATCTCTTTCGTACGCTCATTTTCTCGATCCTCCAACGTGACTAGCTCCGATTTCATAGCGGCAATTTCTGAGAGAAGCGCGGTGTTACATTTATCAGCTCGTGACATATCGGAGTAGCCCTTTGCAAGAAGTTCATTCTTGCGCTCGATCACTCGTTCGTGTGCGTCGACAGTTTCATGCAAATGCTGCACCTCACGCTCGAGATCGGCAACCTTGTCTGCCAGATTCGACTTTTCGAGAGTAAGAGACTCGATTTCTCGTAAACGATCGTCTTCATGCTGTCTGACGATGGCATACTTCGTCTTCGCGACACCGTTCTCGCCTCTCAGAATTAAGCAATCTTCATGCTCCCTCCGAATACGCTCTTCGAAGCTCGCTTTAAGCTGCTCTATTTCACAGTCAACTTCCTCATCGATCACCTTTCGCGCACGTCCGAACGTCTCTCGCATTTGTTCTCGTTCTTTCTCAAGCTTTTCGATTTCTTCCTTTAGCTGTGTGACCCGCATAGCAAATTCTTTCTTTATCTGTTCCACGGATTCTTCGTGTTGCGCTGCACATTGGGCGTTAAGTTCATCACATTGAACCTTGGCCGCATCGCTAGCAGCTTTCAGCTCGTTGAAGCGACGGACTTCTGCAAATATCTTACTAGTGTACTCGTTCTCCATCGAAATGAGTCTATTCTCGTTGTCCTGGACTGTTCTCTTCAGTTCATCCTTCGATTCGCACAAAATAGTGTCTCTCTCGAGCTGTAGAGCAGAAACGCGTTCTTTCTCATAATCAAGCGAACGTGCGGCCTCTTCAGCCTGACATTTGAGCTTCTCGTTCATACTCGCCGCCTGTAATCGCAGTTGATACTGCGCTTGAAGTGAAACTTCTTTCACGTGAGTCTGGAGTTCGCTTATGCGTTGATGTAATTCACCGAGATCATCACGTGCGATGAGCACCTCATCCACGAACAAGGTGCCGTCCGCCGATTTCATCAGCGTCGAGGACGCTTCAGCGATGCGATGCCCCGCGTCTCGAACGTCGAAAGTAAATATACATCCATCACTTCCCGTAGTGTGCAGCGTGAAACCGTCCTGACTGAGTCTGAGTGCGGTGATGCTGCTTGAGTGTCCATGATACTCTGCGTACTCGCCGGTGAGAGGAACTTTGTAGGCGCGCACGCCACCTGCTGAGGTCGCTGCGAGGAGCACATGCGCCGATGCGCTATAAGCTACGTGTGTGAGAACGACGTCTTCAGACGAAAATTCTCGTGTAACCTTGAAATCAGTGTCGAACTCCCTGAGTTTTGCATCACTTGAACATGCTACGATCCCACCAGTGTGGCGAATGGTAGCGATAGAGGTGTATATGCTACCTTTGCGTACGTGCTCACGTACTCGAGCCTTCTCGTCATCTCTGCTCGCGGCCCTGATATCCCACTCATAAATAGCACCATCAGCTCCGGATGATATCAAATTAGCGTCGTTACTGTCCCAGGTAAGCGATTTAACTTTTCCACAGTGACCCCGTAACACTGCTATACACTCGTGCGTGAACGTGTGATGCACATAAACGGTTGCTCCGACGGCACTAGCGAAAAAATGGCCTCCTTTTGAAAACTCGACAACACGGCATGCTTTTAGTGTAAACTCTTTTACTGTACGAAGATCGCAGTTCAAAATATGCATCAGACGGAGTTTGTCGCTGAAGCCGACGCAAGCGATCCAGCCGCTCGGATGCATGGATACACTTAAAGGATTGTCGAGAAAGTCTTTCGATATCTCGCACGAGTTCGAAGCCAAGTTCCACACTTTCATGGATTTATCCGAAGCGCTCACGCTCAGCATGATTGCGCGGCCGCGACAAATATCCATCGACGAAACGCTTCCCAAGTGTGAATAAGTGAGCACGCATTTGAACTTCATCTCCTTCGCTTGCATGATGTCTGCGTTTGTTAAAGAGAGAAACAACACGCGTTTATCGACCAAGGTGCATATCAAACTATCACCTGTCGGGGACACGTCAAGGCCCATGATCTCGCACGATTTAGCATCGACTTGCTCCGCGTTTGCACAGATGTCTTCGGTCAGCGCATCACCAACTTCCGCAGTCGTCTGAAAGTTGTTTGAAGGCGTCGTATCAAATAAATCATCACTCGAGCTCTCGCACGCGGCGATACGTTTCACACATTTGTACGGCACTGCACTTTGCAATTGTTTTCTCGTCGGCACCCTGGTGACGATCACAACGTCGCCTCGATCGCCTGCGGCGATGAATCCAGACTTGTACATCGCAATGCAACTCACGCGCACGCCATTTTCAAAGTTTACCGCCGGAAGAGCACTTTCATCGCTCGATCCACCGCCTCGATACACTCCAACGGTACACACGACCGAATCTTCATCGAGAATGATGACTTCACCCGTGCTCGTCCCGATCGCGACGTGTTTGTCTTTACCCTTCAACCACGCATGCGTGAGCGCTTCGCGTCCCTCATCCTTCATAAGCTGATTCAGCGGTCTCACCGTGAGAAGCTTTATCGTCGAATCCGTCACCCTGTACGTCTTAAACGTGCCACCGGTACACACCGCGCTGATAACGTCGTGATCGTGCGGAGAGAACGACACGTGCGTGATTTGCGAGCTGAAATCCTGCGCGTTCGAAGAGGAAGTCTCCGATGAAGCGCCCACGCGTCTCGGCGGTGGAAGCTCGACCGGCGATCCATTCGAGAGATTCAGGTTCCAGCAAATCAGTGCGTGCGCCAATGTACTGTACGCAACCAATTTTCCCCCGTCGTCCGAAAACGCGAATCCGTCCAAGACGACGTCTTCCTCCTCCCTCGACCCAGCGTGCCTCTTCGTATCCCGCCGCAGCGTCCGCGTCCTCTTCATCGTCTGCGAATCGTACGTCGAAATCTCAACCGTCGCCGTTCCATCGCTCGCGCACGTCGCGATCGTCGATGTCCCAGCGTGCGCGCACGTCGCCGATATCCTCCTCGCCGCGCGCGTCGTCGCCGGCGGTACGAATCGCTGATGTCCCGTGGACGCGTCGTGCAGCACCACCGAGGCACCGGCGACGGTACATATCGTCGTCCCATCGACGTACCGCGGCGACGTCCCGCGCGCGGCGTCGAGGCCGAACGCGCGTCGTCGCGTCACCGTGGACATCTCGTCCCGCGTCCGCCCCCGCGCGCGTCGACGGCGTGTGCCGGGTGCTATTTATTCCGCGCGCGCCCGTCAACGATCGCGACGCGCGAGCTAAATTTACCCCACCGTCGACCGCGCCCGTCGCCCCCGTCGCGCGCGATGGACCGACGGATGGATGAATATTTTCATCATCCATCGCGCGCGCGTCGTCGACGTCGTCGACGTCGCGGCGTCGCGCGATCGCGTCGAGGCGCGCGCGTGAAAATCACCAATGGTCCGCACTCGACGCCGCGCGGACGTCATGGCGTTCGCGCGCTCCGGGCTCCACGCGCGCGCGGCCGCGCGCGGGCTCGCGCGATGGACGACGCGCGCGCGCACCGTGGGCGTCGCCCGCGACCGCGCTCGAGCGTCGCGGGCGTCGCCGAGGGAGGATGACGCGACGACGCGCGATGATAGCGTCGTCACCGAGACCGACGCGACCGCGCCCGAGCGTCGAGGACGGTTCGTTCGCGCGTCGCCGAGCGCGTCGGCGCCGTCGGCGCCGCTTGGGTCGGGACCGGGGGACGTCGGGACGTCGGGATCGGCGCCGCCGGCGATGAACATCAAAGTTATCCCGCTGGAGACGACGAGGTTCCAGGGCGTGGCGAAAGCGACGGAGGCGGAGAGCGAGGACGAGGTACAGTTCCGTCGAGGGCAGTTGATCGCGGGCGACGCGTTGGCGTTGGTGGTGTTCGCGGCGATCGGGAGGGCGAACCACGGGGAAGGTTCGGGCGTGGTGGAGGCGCTCGCGACGGCGGCGCCGTTCGCGCTCGGGTGGTTCGGGGCGGGTACGTTGATGGATGCGTACGGTGACGACGCCCGAGGAAGCGACGGGAGCAAGGCGGCGGTCGTCGCGGCGAAGACGTGGGCGATAGGCATTCCTGCCGGTTTGGCGCTTCGGGCGCTCGGGAAGGGGGCGGCGCCGCCGACGCCGTTTATCGCCGTCTCGATGGTCGTCACCGCCGCGTTCCTCGTCGGCTGGAGATATGCCTTCGCGCGAAACAAAGCGCCGATCGGTAAGAACAAGCGCGGGAACCCCCTCGAATTCATCAGTCTGCTATCCAGCTTGGTCAAGCGATGGTGAGCGCGTCTCCGCGCGCGTCTCCATCTTCCGAGCGCGCGCCGCGCGCGACGATGTCATCGACGCGTCCATCTCAGCGCATCCAGTCGCCGCGCCTCTTCCCCCGCGATCGCGCGCTCGATCAACGCACGCTCTACATTTTCCCTTCATCCTCCCCCGTCGACCGCGCACCACGAAGACGCGTCGAACGCGCCGACGTGCCCTCTGCTATCCGCGACCCGCGCGACCACGACCTCGCCTTTGACCGCACTTCGCCACATCGCCATCCACAAAACCCGTCGCCGCGCCGTCGACGCCGTCTCACGTCGCGCGCGACGGCGTTCACGGACGCGCGCGTGGACACACCGTCGACGGACGTCCGCGCGCCGGGCGTCGCGCGCCACAGCGCGTCGCGGCGGCGTCGCGGCGTCGGATCGAGCGCTCGAAACTCGCGCGTGACGTCCATCCCCGGTTCGCGCGCGCGAGATGTCGCGCGCGGGGAAGAAGATCGTCGAGGTCGACTCCGAGGGAGAACCCGTGGAGGAGGAGCGGGAGTGGGGAGAACAGCCGGCGCACGCGGCGAAACGGGCGGAGAGACGGGCGGATGCCATGCGCGTGCTCGACGTGGGGTCGAACGACGACGCGAGCGCGGTGAAGCAGGCGTATCGAAAGCTGGCGATGCGACATCATCCGGATAAACATCGGGATGATCCGGAGGCGGAGCGGAAGTTTAAGGAAATCGTTCGGGCGTACGATACGTTGACGCGAGAGTACGGACTGATGGGCGACGGTCACGGGGGGGGAGCGTTTCAGGACAGGTTCGAGACCGCGGCTGACATGCGAGACTTCGCGGCGAGCTTCTTCGAGAGCTTTTTCTTCGGTGGTGGTGGGATGGGAGGTCAAGGCATGTTCGGTCGTCGAGGCAGTCGAGACTACGACGACGCGAGCAGCCGCGACGACTACGACAGCGAGGACGACTCTCTAGCTAGCTTGGAAGATTACGACGATGAGGATTACTCCGACGACGAAGAGTACACCGATCTACACAATTTCTTCGAGAGCGAAGCATCCGGATGGGCGCCGCGAGACATGCCCGGGAAGTGGTTTGGACGACCTAGAGATAGTCAGGGCACAACGAGCAAAGGTAGACCTTCCATGACGGATGATCAGCTGTTTGAGCACTTGGAGCAGATGCGAAAGGAAGCCGCGCGTTACGCCGCCGAGCTTGCAAAGCAGGAGAACGAGGCTCGTCGTGCGAACGAGCCTTTGGAGAAGCTCCAGAGACCGACCATGGTCTCTCGCACTGACGATTCCATGACGCTCAATCTGTCGCGCGCGAAGTCCACAACGCAGAACTTGCCTCAAGATCGTTGCTGGGAGCTCAGCATGAAGAAAGAAAAGGATCAAAGTTATACGGTGTACGATACCGTGAAGGGAACGTGTGTTGTGACGGTGACCAATCTGTTGCCCGGGACGAAGTACGCATACAAGGCGCGAGTCGGTCGCGTCGACGAGTCCACTGGTGAGGTCACGGAGTGGGGTCCATATAGCGTAGAAAGTATGTACGCCACTTCAGGCAAGGCACCCGTAGGAAATAGCGGCAAACAGAGCGAAACTAAAGGCGAAGAGGTTGTCGTCGAAGCTGGTATGGGTAAGAAGGCAAAGAAGCGCGCAGCTAAAGAGCAGGCTGAGAAGGAAGAGCGCGAGCGAGCGGCCGAGGCTGAGAAGCAAGGTACTGCGACGGTGGTCGATGAGGCGGCGGCTCGACAGGCAGCCCTCCGAAAGGCTGCTGAAGAAGCTGCGGAACGTGAAATGGCCGAGATGGAGGAGATCCGAAAGCGTGTCGAGGCTGTGAAGAAGCCGGATGTGGTCAAAACAACGGCCTCAGCTGGCGAAGGCTTGTCAAAGAAGGCGGCGCAGCGCAAGAAGAAGAAGGAGCGCGCTAAGGCTGAGGAGGCAGCCAAAGCTGCGGGCGTTGATGTTCAATCGGTGCCTCACGAAACGGACGAAGAACTTGCAAGGCGCCTGCAAGCCGAAGAAGAACGCTCTGCGGCGGTGGATGCTCGCTATAATCAAACGACGAAACCGCCCGTACCCACAGGCCCGCCGCCGTCATGGGCGGCGGCACCGGCGATGCGTATGCCCGTTAGAAAGGTCGAGCAAGGCGCCACAGTGCAGGCATCGTACGGTGCTCCTCAACCACCGCATTCGGCGCCACCTCCGGGTCAGAGCAGGATTCCCATTCCGAGAGTGAACGACGAGCTGCAAGGGCCACCACCGCTTCCGCCGGGACCTCGTCCCACCTCGGCTTACGCCACAGCACAAGCACAGATGCCACCACCGCATCCCGCAGCTTCCACGTCGCCGCAAGCTGTCTCGGTTTGGGGCAGCGGCCAAAGTTTGGGAGTCACCGCGGCTAGCACGTGGGGCGAAACTAAAACGATGCAACCGGCGATGATGGCGCCTCCATCGCAAGCGGTACCTCAGCTACAGCCGCAAGGTCAACCGGCGTCGTGGAGTCCTGCGAATAGCAACTGGCAACCGATGGGTCAAGGATCTGGTATGGGCACTCTGCCCGTGGATTACGGATTTGCGTCAGAGTCGCAACGTTTGCCGCCCTCTACCGACTTGTTTCCGGCGGTCGATCGGAACTGGGCGCCATCCCCCGCTCCGGCTCCGGCTGCGGCTGCGACTCACTGGAGCGGTCAGGCTAGTTGGAACGACGGCGGCGGCGCGCAAGGCGTTCCCGGCGCAGACTGGGGTCTCGGCGATCTGGGCGTCAACGCCGATCTCAATCCCGGCACGCCCAGCTGGAGCACCTTCGGCGGCACATCCCCGGTCACCGGTCCGGGCATGTGGTCCAACCCGCAGAATCCCAACGGTCTCTCCGTCGACGTTGAGCGCATGCGCCTCGGCGGGCAGCGCCAGCAGCAAACCGCTCCGCGCTCGCCCGCCACGCCCGACGGGGATCCGAATCTCATCGATTCTAGCCTTTTGAGCTTCCTCGGATAGCGTGTAACGACGCGCATCACCCCTAAAAATTCGTCCCTCGACCTTTTCCCCCACCACGCCTTTCAACTGTCTCCCGCAGCTCAACACATCGCTCCCAACGCGACGTCCCGCACACGCGCGCGCGCGATCACGCGAAACCCACGACGCATACGCGCGACAACTTCGTGCGTCGCACGCGCGCGCACCGTCTCGCGCGGCGGCGTCGTCGCGAGCGCGAACGGTGCGCTCGACGAGGGCGAAGGAATCAACAAAATCTCAACCAGTCGTTTCGATCGCGATGCCGCTCGGCGTCCGACGTCCGCGCCCGGATAAGGTCTGGGAGCGCGGTTCGAGGGTGGACGTCGTCTTAGAGCGCACGCAGGACATCGATCGCGATCGGACGATCGAGTGCGAGGTGGCGCTCGTGGGCGCGAGCGCGTGGCTTCGAAGCGGGCGGACGACGCTCGTGGGCGCGTGCGCGTTCGAGGATGATGCAGACGAAGTGCGGCTGACGTGGACGGTCCCGGAGGACGTGCCGACTGGGGAGTATGAGTTGCGAGCGCATGTGCCGAACGCGAAGCCGGCGATCGAATCGTCAACGCGGGTGATGGTCGCGGAACGCGTGGCGTTGGTTCGGACGAGCGCGGGCGAGGCGCGGGCGATGTGGGATCGACGAGCGGTCCCGAAGGATTACTCGATGGAAGACGGATGGAAACTGGCGATTGATATCGTTCCGGAAGTTCGGGATGGGGAGGATGTGAATGCGGTGGTGTCGCAGGCGTTCATACTCGCCGCGGAGAGCGGACTGAGGACGCACACGAGGGACGGCACGCGCATCTTGTGCGACATCTCGACGGCGGAACGGGACAGTCAGAGCAAGAGTCTCAGGTTGCTACCGAATCGTGTGTGTGAGATCGGGATATGCGCCTTCGGAGACGATTCTGAGGTGATGCAAGATTACGTCACGTCTCGTGTGCGAGTGGATATGTCCCACACGAAGTTTCAAGTCATCGCCGGTGGACATCCTTCGCCTTCAGGGCGATGCATTCGCGCGGCCGAAGGATATTACGTGAGAACACCGCCGCCGAAGACAGTACTAGAGAAGAAACAGGAGGGTCAAGAGTTGAAAGACATGACAAACATCGACGAAACGGACACTTTCACCAACGAGGTTGTCACGTTGGGACAATGGGGATCAGTGGAGGGCGCGGATGGATGGCGACAGGAATCCGGTTTGAACGTGCTCGTCGTTCGCGCTGATGATTTTCAGCCAATTTACGATCGTACGTGGGACATGAGTGGAGGCGCGCGCCGAGCGAGAGCTCTAGAAGAGTCTCTTCAGTCATTTATGAAGGCATTTTTTGATGGTGGCGAAGTTGACATCGCGCGTAAGAGCGTGCCAGAACATTTTCTGTGCATCACTTCCTGCGGTCAATGGAGTGGTGGCGCTCCCAAGGTCAGCGAAAAAGTCGGAAAAGTATTACAACTCGTCCTTGTTGGCATTTTAGGCGCCGATCAGGACGATCCGGAAGTTAGTGCGACCATTCAGAAAGCTCTGGCGGCGCCGGACAAGCCACTTGCCATGGCAGTGATGTCGTATGGAAACGCGAAATCCGACGAGGTGCACACCTGGATGAACGTTGGTGAAGCAAAGAGTAAGGCGATAGTTCAGGTATGCTTGAGTCACGCGAGCGGCGCGTGGTATCCGACGTTGATTCAGAGTGGCGTTGGTGAAAAGTCCTCGGATTGGTGCGTTCCCTGGCGACAGTTTGGACGAGAGGGATGGAGCGTCGCCGATGACGCCGCCCGAGTGGAGCGGTATTCGCAACTCATAGCGGATGTTCGTCACATGGTGTTCGACACTAAGAGTGGTACACGGGTGAGCGTGCACAATTTAGTTCGCTCTCTGGTGAAGTACGCGACGCGCAAGAGTGGAGACAAGTCGCTGGTACCCACCATCAATATGCTTCTGGTTGAAATAATCCTCTCACGAGGAGAGCTTGCGTCGGTTGAGTGTGTCAACGCTGGTGTGATTGAGTACGTCATTCATCGCGTGCTTCCTTGCTTCAACGAGGACGGATCACATGACAAACTTGATGTTCTAGACAAGGCGTACATCAAATCGTTTCTTAAATTGCTCACGGTGGATAACTTTGCAGTCTACGCCGAGGCTATGCGTAGAGGCAGTGCAGAGGCGGCGCTTCGAGTTGTACGCGCATCATGGAACGGAGAAGCTACCTGCTTCGACGCCAGTACGCGTGATATGGCGTTCGAACTTGCTGAGCACATGGCGCTTACCGATTTAGTCACGGTTCAAATCACTGCGAAGAGCGATGACGTAGTCTCCACGTTTACAGCCATTCGATCCAGCTTAACCTGCGTGTCACCCATCACCGCATCTACCTCTAGTAAGGTGTACATCCTCGACATCGAAGCTCCGCTCGGGCGTGATGGACTCATAGAGATCCCAAAAAGGTCTCGAACATGCGAATCGGCGTCGCCGACGATGACACCAGCGCAAAAAATTTTACAGGCATACGATGAAATCTTGGAGGGTTCGGATTCGCCGGATAAAAACGCTGATAAGGATTGGACGATGATTGAGCCGAGCGAAAACAAACAGATGAAGGAAGTAGTCGTCGCGGAACCCATTCTGGAGACACCGCAAACCTCGCAGAAACAACCGCCGGAGGATAGGGAATCAGCTCCTGAAGATATCTTCGATGGAATCGTCGTTCTTTACCCTAAAGACAACGATTGGAACACGCATGTCGCAATGGTTCGACAGGCACCAAGGATCGTGTGGCGCGCACGAGAACGAGGCGCTCGAGCTGTATTTTTTGTGTGGCCCAAACGCTTGCCGACGTGCGTCCCTGTGCAACCACTCCAATCGAGTCCGAATTTCGATAACTCGACAAACATTCCGAGTTTCGTCATGGATCATGAATCTTTATCCCGGTTGCTCTTGATTTCCGAGGATATTGAGTTTAAAATCGACATTCCGAGTGGTAGATTTGTTGGTGCTGCTGAAGCACTCGCGAGCCGAATCGGCAAAAAACTCATGGAAGCGTGTGCAGATCGTCCTCCTGCTATACGTGAATGTGGAACTCCACCGATAGCTGGACGCTTTCGAGGAAGATTCAAGCCCTGTGAGGCGCAGAGCTTACTTTGCAACGAGGAGACAACGATACCGAGCACGCCCGTGGCGTCTACCAGTGAAGGTTTTGCCGTTTCACTGATGCGGAAGATGACGTTTACGCAGGGCGACCAGAAGAAAGAAGAGTCATCCAATGATGACGCAAGCGAAGAGAGGAAGGATGTGAAAGAAGAACAGAACATGCATTCTCTTCGAAACCTGAGTCAAAAGGTCGCTGCTCCACCAATGGATGAAAACTCTTATCTGGACGCGTGGCGAAGCGCTAACTTGGATGGCGGAGTATCGCACTGGACGCGAGCGATGCGCCTCGTTAACGCTTTAGGTGATCATGGACACGGAATGTTGCGTTCAGCGTACGGCATGTGTCAGAATGATACCCGACCGGTTCGCGTTCTAAGTCTGGATGGCGGCGGTATGCGAGGCATCGGCACACTCGTCATGTTGGAGAGAATACTAAAAGAGACAAACAACTGGTGTGTGGGAGATTGTTTCGACCTCGTCGTGGGCACGTCTACTGGCGGCCTCATCGCGGCGGGCGCCGGTCTTCTTCGCATGACTGTCGATGAGCTACACGAGCTCTATGCGAAGATGGGTGATGAGATATTTCCCCGCAAAGCCGACTCGTACATGACGCAACTATACAATCAAGTTTCAGTGACCAAGTTCTATAATCGCGGTAGAGAAGAGGCGAGAAGCTTCGAGACCATGCTGCGAAAGGCTCTCAAGGACGAAGGAGAAAAGCCTCTGTACAGCATCACCTCACACCCTCGATGGTACTCATCGAGATCTCCACCACCGCACGTCTGTCTTGTTTCGCATCTTGTCAGTCGCTCGCCTGCAACGACATTCTTGATGCGGTCTTACAAACACGACGCTCGTGGAAAAAGTCATCTCGGCCACTTACCTGGTGAGCATCGCGTGAGCTTGGTAGATTCCGTCCGGGCCACGACTGCGGCGCCGTGGTTTCTGGAGGAACTCAGAACGAAGAAGCAAATCGGTGGCGGCGGCGGATTTTCGCGCGACGACAAAACCGGTAACGCCCGTCAGGGAGACTCGGGCGGACAAGCTTCGCCAAAACCCTCTGACGGAAAGCAATCGACGGAGGACGAACATCATCATGATATCGGCACCATGCCAACGAATGTGGAGGCAGAGATGAGACTCATCGACGGAGCCATTGCGAGCAACAATCCCACCGCTGTGGCCGTCTTTGAGGCTCGTCGTTTGTTCCCGAAGTCCCGTCCTTTGTGCGTGGTGTCCTTGGGAACGGGGGCGGCGGTTCCAAACTCCCGCGACGCGGCCGCATCGAGCTTTCCGTGTTGGCTTGACAACACCATTCACGCGTCTTGCGACGTCAACCAAGTCGACGCAACGATTCGTCACTTGCTCGGCGGCGACGACGCCTACTACAGATTCCAACCCACCGCCGATATCTTCGGTTGCGAGCTCAACGATACCTCCGAGACCACCGCCTCCGCGCTCAAGCGCGCGGCCGCGGCGTACATGGACTCTGTCGCCGCGCAGGTGCGCGAAGTCGCCGAGCGACTCCAACGAGACGACAAACCCGACGTCGACGTCGCGTGCGACTCCCCCGCGCCCTCATCCTCGTCGTCGAATCATTAGCCATTGCATTTCACAACACTCCATTCATTCAGTTAGCCGAGGACGCGTCTTCATCACTTACTCCAACGCCGCGTCCTGAACTTGGAAAATCCCACTGACCGTTATCGACTTCAACCAACGATGCATCGCCATCGTCGGCCGCCTCGGCGGCGACGTCCGCGCTCGATGCTCAACCTCATCAAGAAGACGGTGACCGATCGCGTGTCCGACGCCATCGCGCACGCGTCCGCGCGCCGCGACGTTACCGCGCGCGGCGTCAAACTCTCGAGCACGGGCGCGCTGCACCTCGAGAAAACGTCGGGCGCCGTGAACGCGCTCGCGCTCGTGATGCGCGGCACGGAAGACCCGCGACTGGTCGGTGCGTCAAGTGATGGCGCCCTGCGGGCGTGGAGCACGAACACGGGGGCGCTGACGTCGAGGGTGCGGGCGCACGAGGGCGAGGCGCGGGCGTTGGAGACGAGCGGGACGGCGGGCACAGGAAAGATGCTGTTGATTAGCGCGGGAGGAAAAGGTGGGGTCGTCGTCGCTCGAGATGCGATTTCGGGGACGATTGAGACGGAGCACACCGGTTTGGAGGGGTTGGACGCCGAGCTCGGGGAGGTTCGGTGCGTCGCGGCGCTGCGAGACGGGCGCGTGGTCGCTGGCGATGACGAAGGACGGGTCTTCGTGTGGGAACATAAAGATACTCTTCCCTGCTGGCGATGGTCGACCAAGGTAAACGTTGGGGTGGAGAGCCTGAGTCCACGCGGGAGGGGTAAAACACCGAGGACGTCGCCGGATGCGGTTAACGCAGTTTGCGGATGGACGCATCGGCAATCGGGCGAAGAGTTTGTGGCGACCGGAAACGGACGCGGATCTCTCCAGCTCTGGCGCATGCATCAGTCGAAAGCACTCGCTACGTTCGACGAGGACGAGGGTGGACATCGTGGGGCTATTCACGCTGTGTGTGACAACGACGGTGTCATCATCACCGCTGGTGCGGATGGCCGCGTCTTGGCATGGTACGTGAACGAGAACGGCGAACTTCTTGGTCCACCCGAGGCAATGGACGTTGGAGCACATCACACGGGATCGGTGCTGAGCGTCATAAACATATCGCCGGGAGTTGTGTGCACGGGAGGCACTGATCAACGCGCGTTGATTTGGGACGTCAAATCGCGCGCGATGATGTTTGAATGTCCCAGTACCAAAGCGGGCGCGGTAATGTCATTGGCGTTTGACGATTCCGCCGACGTCTTGTACACAGGCTGCGCGTTGAACCAAATCTCGCGTTGGGAGTTACCGATGGGAGAGCGAATGAGTCCTCGTGAGCACGCGAACGATCTGCCACTTTTGACACGGAAACTGAGCTACGACAGTTTCGAATCATGGGACCAGAACGACGCGCCCGCCGCTCATCAGAGCTCCGTCTCTCATGGGAGTGTTGCGGTGGAGACGAAACTCGATACCTCGAGCGAGTTGACTAGCGCTCAGTCGATGTTGGTGCGCGTCACCGAGGAGCTCGATGAGATGAAAATGTCTGACAGGATTCTCTCACAGAAGGTCGCAAGTTTGGAGAACGAGTTACGGGCTGAGCGCGCATCACTCGCATCTGCTCGCGAAGAAATCGAGCAGCTGAGGAGACCGGCTGCGCCAAAAGGAGAGACATTCGACGCGACTTTGAAAGCAAAGTGCGAGAAGATGGAATCGATCGCTCGCAAGCAAAAGAGCAAGATTGACGAGTTGAAGTCTACATTGAAGTTGGCCGTGGACGAGCGACGCGACAAATGCGATGAATTGGAGAAACTTTCGAAGACAGTCGAAGGCTTGCGAAAAGAGCTAGAACTCGCTCGTTCTAGCGCACCTGCAAAGGACGCTACGTCGCTGGACGTAGAAGAAATGATGGCTGCCGCCGAGCGAGCTCTGTTGAGCCCACAGCAAGCAAGCGAAGAAGCTCCATCAGAAATCATGCGTGAATTGCACAGCATTCGCGAAGAATTTATTTCAGCGGAACAGACGATCTCCAAACTGAACTCGCGTCTGAGTTCTGTCGAAGAAGAGAAAGAATCCATCTCTGCGCAACACGCAAGGTTGGTTGACGAGACCAGCAGACACGCGGACAAACTAAGAGCTGTTCAGGCGGAGCTCGACGGCGTCAGGCAAGAATCCGATGCCGCGCTGACCGCACTTCGCGAGCAGTTGGATCAAGCTCAAAACAGAGCCAATGCTTTAGAGAAAGAGCTCAGCGATGCGAAGGTCACTCTGAGCGCAAGGGATGCGGTCGCGGATGAAAACGCGAAATCTGTGGATGTGTTGACGGTGCTCCAAACTGAAAACGCCGCAAAGGACAAGCGCATCAAGGAACTTGATGCAAAACACAGTCTAGCGAGGCAAAAGCTCGAGAACGCAGTGACGAAGGGCAAGGGGTTTCAACAAGAGTGTACCGAGCTTAAGATTAAGCTGCAGAATGCGCAAGACGAGGCGGATGGCCAACGCAAAGAACTTGCTGAGCTCAAATCGCAGCTCAATGCGGCGCGAACTTTGACGGATGAGTTTGAAAGCAGGCAGGCTCTCGCAGACGCTGAAGCGGAACGTGTACGAGCTCAGTTAAGCGAAGTGCAAGGCGAGGCTTCGAAGAGCGACGAAACTATGGCTCAGTTGCACGAAGACTTGAAGCGCGCAGACCAGCGAGTGCGCGAAGCGGAGGAGTCGGTTGCGTCGAGTGCAGAGCGACACCAAGCTGAATTGAGCGAATTGAAGCGGAAGTTTGACAGCGCAGTTCAAAAAGGCAAAGGATTTCAGCAGGAATGCGCGGAGCTCAAGAAACAGTTGCAAGAACGGGAAGCCACGCATCAAGAGAAGTGTGACGCGATCATGTCTCGGGCGGGGCTCAATGAAGCTAACGTTCAGAAATTAGTCGACACCATGAGCGCTCAGCGCGAAGAACTGGAGCATCTAAAACAGGACTTTGAGAACACAGAGAAGATGAGCAGAAGATTGCAGGAAGAGAACGCTAAGCTCAAAACCACAATGGAAGAACGCACCGGCGCGATCGACGCCGCTAGAGCTGAACTCAAGGAGGCGCGGTCCGAAGCACAGCGCGCGATAAATGAGCTTAAGTCGTTGGAGTCGCAGCACAAAAGTGAGATCATCAAGTCGGCGCAGGACATTGAGCGTTTGCGCGAGGCATTGTCGACAAGCGAAGTCGAACGCGGGCACTTGGTATCACAGATGAGATCTACGGAAGAGGCACAAAGTGAGTTGATGAAATTGCGCGACTGTATACAAACGTATGAAGCGGAGATGAGTGCCCTGAAAAGTACCGTAGAGACCGCTAAGGCAAAGTTTGCAAATGCCGTTGCGAAAGGCAAAGGTTACCAAGCTGAGGCGGCGAAGTTACGAGAGGAGCTCGATCATGCGAAAGATACGAACGACCAGGTCGAAGATCTATCATCTAGCCTCGAGATAGCAAGTAAGAAGGTGAGTGAGAGTGCCAGGATCATCGCTGAAAAAGATGAGATGATTGCGCGGCTCATCGCACAACTGAAACAATCACAGGCCAGTCAAGGAGAGGACGAACGGGGCAAGAACTGGCTCGAACAACAAGCGAGAGCCACTGCTGAGGCTCAGGCAAGTGCCTTGGCTGATGAAAACGAGCGGCTGCGACAGGAAGTCGCTGCGGCTTCCGCCGCCGCGCAGGAGGCGTGGGCAGTTGCGTCGAGTCACGGAGTGCGTCCGGGCGAGTCGAGACCAACGAGCGAAATCGGGTCTCCGGTGCGTGAAGGGTTTCCTTCGCGTGCGCGATCTCTGTACCAACATCCGACGTATCGCGGAGCCATGTCAATGATCTACGAGCGACAAGACTCTATGGTACCTCGGGAAGACTACGACCAAGTGAAGGAACACTGCGCGAAACTGAAGCGGGAACTGGAAAACGCCAAGGCTGCCGCGAAGGAAGCGGTTCAACAGGTGATAAATCGGTTAGAGATGGAAGTAATGGCGAAGGTTCACGCCGAGACACTCGCGAAAGCCGCTGAGGCGGAATGTAAAAGAGCTTGGGCGCACGCAAAGGATGCGTTGGCGACGGCTAGAGAAATCCAGAAGAAACAGTTGCCAATTCCGGTCGAATCGCTTAGACCGCAGCCACCGCCTGGGACGCGAGCTGCAGCGGCCATGGAGCGCGACACGTCCGGCGCGCTCATCATTCGACAGGAGCATCTGCTGTCGGTACTCATCGCTTTACTGGCCTTTGTCATCGGCGCTGTGTTCACAGGTAGAAAAATTCGGTAGCTCAGAAAATGCGCATAATACAAACAGACTACTTCTCAAAGATGTTCTTTATCCCGTCGAGCATACTAACACCCTTTTTCGGACCGTTGAAAGCGTCGAAAAGCTTCCCTAACGTGCTCTGCGGCTCGAAGCGAGCCATAATGACTTCGAATCGACTATCCTCTCGCAAACTCGCGATATCTGCATCTGCACGAATCGCCGGGTACTGATCGTACCCTCGTTCGAGGGCCGTCAGAAGTGACGCCAACCCTTCTTCCACGTTACCGATATTCGCGTGACAGCACGCCTTGTTGTATGCGATGGCGATCTCCTCGCCGCTAGAAAGCTCCCTCGGTTTGAACCCCGCGCTCGGTCCCGCCGGCGCGACGACTGATTTCCTGTATCGCACCGGCCCGCTCCCCGGCAGCGTCCCCGCCCGCTCGAACGTCGCCAACGCCTCCTCGTACTTTCCACTCGAGTACAACCTCTGACCCTCGGCGATGCACGACGCGCAATCGTTCGCCCGCTTCGCCTCCTCCGCCTCCGACGCCCTGAGCGCGAGCAAGGCTTCATCGTCCAGCATCGTCGGCGACGCCGCCCCAGCGACGCCCAGCATCGTCGCCAAGTCCGCATCGCTCATCGTTTGCGCGTCCACGCTCACGGCGACGTCCGTGACGCCCGAAGTATCGGCGACGAAGTCGGATTCGTCGACATCTGCTTCAGTCGCGTTCCACGTGAGCGGGTCGTTCGGGTCGAATCCCGCGCGCGTGATCGTGCGTGTACTCGATCGACGCGCGCGAGGGCGTTCGGCGCGTCGTCGCGCATCGTTGGACGGTGTCGCGGTCGCGCGCGTCGCGATCGCTCGCATCCTTCGTCGACGTTTTGTGAGGTACCTGTGTCTTGAGTGGATATGCTTGGCTGGACAAAGGCGAGCTAACGGAAAAATGAATTATGGTTTGTTTTGTAGACGTACACAGAGTGATCACCACCCGCCCCATCCGCCGCTATCGCCGCCGCGAGGGGCAGGGGAGCGCTCTCGGGAACCGTATCCATCACCACCGTAATCGCGACGGGGTGGGCGGTCGTTGAAGTCTCGACGAGGCGGACGGTCGCCAAAGTCGCGGCGCGGACGATCGGATCGACCGCCTCCGTCGCCGAAATCGCCTCGACCGCCACCGCCTCGACGGTCGCCGAAATCGCGACCGCCGCCTCGACCACCGCGGCGTTCACCATAATCGTCGCGAAAACCACCGCCTCGACCGCGGCCACCACCTCGACCGCCAAAGCTTCGTCCGCCTCGGCCCCCTCGGCCTCGGCCGCCAAATCGGCCGCCGCCTCGACCACCAGAACGTTCGCGGGTTTGCTCGGCCATGAGATCCGGAAGTTTGGTGCACACAGATAAGTCAAAACCGTTCAAATCGGTGACGGTTTCCAAATCGGACATGTAAGCGGCGTCAATATCGAAGCAAAGGCCGTTCTTGTTTGCCAAGAAGCGAATCTTACCACATCCGTCCGCGAGTTTGCGGTCAATTTCTGTGAGGGCACGAAGCAAATCACCGGCTCGAATCGCCGGCTCACTGTCCGCTGAATCGACAACCATGTAGGTACACGAATTGGGCGCGCCAGTGAGAAGAGAACGCGGGGGAGGAGCTTCAGTTTGTCCACTGATTGCTGCGAGTGCCGCGGCGAGGATCTGCGTGATGTCTTCTCCGGCGTCTTCTGGCAAGAGCTTCTTCGCGGTGGGAGCGAAGAACGGCAGCAGCTCGGAGTCGACTTTGGAGAGCGCGTTGGACGCAGTCACGGCACATGCATCCATGACTTCCGTTGAGGACGGGATATCGATGGCACGGAAGTCGCATCCCGTCTCCTTCTGAATACGGCGAATCATGTAAGACTCGCGATCTGTGTACATGGCAATCGCGGCGCCTTGCTGGCCTGCGCGCCCGGTTCGACCGCAACGATGCACGAATGATTCCACGTCGTTCGGCAGCTCGTAGTGAATGACCAAATCGACGTCGGAGATGTCCAATCCACGTGCGGCAACGTCGGTGGCGATGAGCACAGTGAACCGGTTGTCTCGGAAACGTTGAAGAGTGCGCTCGCGCTGGGCCTGCGCGATGTCACCATGCAGCACTTCGCACGAAACTCGCTTGCCGAGAGCGGCAGTTAGTTCATCGGCGGCGCGCTTCGTTTGCGTGAAGCAAATACACTTTTTATCCTTGGCGTACACGGTGACGAGGTCCATGACAATGGACGTGCGGCTCGTCTGCGACACGGCGCAGGTCATCAAGTCAATCGTGTCCGCAACCTTTTGCTTGTTATCCCCCACCAAATCCACCACCACGTGCTGCGCTTTCAAGAATTTCTTCGTGATTTGCTTCACCCATTGTGGCATGGTCGCGGAAAATAGAAATGTCTGTCGGCCAGCCGGGCAGTCATGCAGAATGGCCTCCACGTCCTCCTCGAACCCAACGTTCAACATCTGATCCGCCTCGTCGAGAACGACGAATTCGATCTCGGAGAGATCTAATGCGCGTCTGTTCATGAGGTCCATGATCCGACCCGGGGTCCCGACGACGATGTCCACCCCTCGGCGAAGCTTGGATTCTTGCTGCCCGATGGGCGTGCCGCCGTACACGCACGCGGTGTCCAGTGTCGGCGCGGTGATGAAGATTTCGTTCTCCACCTGCTTCGCCAACTCTCTTGTCGGCGCCAAAACGATGCATTTCGGGTTTCTATACCCTCGTCCACCGCTCCCGCGACCGTTTGACAGCAATTTTTCAATTACCGGAAGCGAAAACGCCAACGTCTTACCCGTTCCCGTCCGCGCCCTTCCGACCACGTCTTGCCCATCCATCGCCGGCCGTAACACCGCTTGCTGAATAGGAAACAACGCGTCTACTCCTCGCTTTCTCAACGCCTGCACCGTGGTCTCGCTCATTCCAAAATTATCGACATCCGCCGGGTCCGCGTCCGCCTTCACCTTTATCACCACCTCGCCCTCGTCCGCGACGTACTGCTCTTCGATCGTCATCTCGTCCTCGTCCGGGGTGTACAGCCCGCCCGTTTCCTCCGCATCGTCCTCTTCGTCCGCCTCGATCGCCATGTCGTCGAATCGAGCGAGCAAAACGTCGACGTCGTCCTCGAGGCTGTCGACGCGGCGAGCCGCCGCCGCCGGCCGCGTGACGTGGAGTCCGCGTGCGTTGACGTTGGCGCGCTTGGCGACCAACAGCGGGCGGACGACGGATGCGGTGCGCGTGAACATCGCGCGCATGTTTGTCGCGTTTGTGCGCGTTTCACCGAGCGGTCGCGCGTCGAGCGCGGCGCGGAGAGAGGAATTCTCGAGAGGGGTGTGACGTTTCGTCACCCACGCACGCGGGTGTTTTCAAAATGGCAAAGCGGCGCCCGGAGCCGCGAATGGTATTGAATGATAGATATTACATGCGAGGATACGAATGCGGTCGTGTAATGATGGAAATAATCGTGACATGGATCAACGCTCGTCCTCGGGGGCGCAACCGAGCCTGGAGCGGAGCTCTACGAGGGCGGCGTCGACGTCGACGTCGAGCGCGACGCGGCACTTCGGAGCCGAGGTCCACTCGTTGGGGACGTGCCATTTGCGGCGGACGTCTAATATGGTCTGTCCGCGGGATATGCCCTCGGTGACGACGCGAACGGCACCCTCATGGAGGGTGAAAACGCGATTTCGAATGCTTGGAACGGCCAGAAGTAGCGCCGTGGGGTCGTGCATGTATATGCCGTCCAAACCGGCAGCATTGAGGTGGTACTCCTTGTAGAATTGCGCGGCATCGTGCAGGAAAAGCCGCACGCGATCGCTGCACTTCTTACCATCGTTTAAATCGCCATTGCCGTCGCTGTGGAAAGGACGCGCTAACCGAGCGAGATCAGAGGAGTGCAACTGCACACGCGTCGTCACGTCCAGTCCGACGACGTACGTCCTCTCAAACGTTCGAAACACCTCGTCTGCCGCGTTCGGGTCGCCCAAAATGTTCGCCTCTGCGGCTGGATTCACGTTACCGTTCACAGAAAACGCCCCACCGAGGACGACGAGCTCTCCCATCGTGTGCAAGCACTCCGGATAGCGCCGAAACGCCAACGCTACGTTGGTCAACGAAGCCAACGCGAGCACCGTCACCTCTCCCGGATACCTCGCGCACGTCTCCGCGATGAAATCCGCCGCCTCTTTCCCAGCCTCGTACGCGTACGCCTTCTCTTTCTCGAACGCCTCCGTTTCCACTCTCGCCCGAGCGCCGCCGAAGCCGTCGTCCGCGTGAACAAAGTCCGCCACGAACACCTGTGAATCATCCGCGTCGTGCGCCCCTCGTCCCTCGCGGTCCCCGTGCGCGAGCATCCCGATCGGTACCCTCGATCCATCCACGACCGGCACCTTAAACCCGCGCTCATCTCCCGGAATCGAGGTCAACTGCGTCATGAGCTTGGCGTTTCGCGTCGCCTCGTCTCTTCGAACGTTCCCGAACATGGTCGTGACGCCCACGATTTCGATCTCCTCGCGCATCGTCTGTGCGGCGATGGCGAGCGCGAAGGCATCGTCGATCCCAGGGTCGGTATCCACGATGAGCTTGCGACGTGCGTGTGACATGGCGTCCGATGATGACGTGTACGTGCCCACTTGAAACAGTTGATGAATGTTTTACATAGAGCTAGCCGACAGCCGCTATTCGTCCTCCTCGTCGTCTTCGTCCCAGAAATCCTGGACAGCCTTGACAAAAGATTGCACGACGGGTTTGTTCACGATCTTCCGGCGCATGCTTCGCCCGGAAGGGTCGTCGGACTCTAACACAAGATTGGGGCCGGTAAAGTAGGCGGACGCGGCGCCTCCCAAAAGGCCTCCGCCGTGTCCCCAGTTATCTATGCGCGCGCTCGTCAGACCGAACGCCATGTTCACGGCGAGCGCAGAACCGATTTGTTTGAGCTGCATGTCCGCGCGCTCGCCCAGGAGGTGTTTGTGTCGCTGTAAGTACACGGCGAGCGCGCCGGCTAATCCGAACACGGCTCCGCTCGCACCCAGCGAAGGCGTCGGGCAAAAGCGGTAACTCGCGTAGTTCCCGGCGAGGCCCGCCGCGAGATACGTCGCACAAAACTGTTCGCGCCCGAACGTTGCCTCCACGAGCGGTCCGATGGAGTTGAGCGAATACATGTTCACCATCAAGTGTGGTAGTCCGCCGTGGAGGAACATCGGCGTGACGAGTCGCCACAGCTCGCCCGCCGCGATCTTCTCGTTAATCTTCACCCCGAACCCCGTGAGCGTCTGACGCGTGAGCAACTGCAGCGCAAATGCCCCACACGTGGCGACTATGATCCCGTCCGTGCACGCTCGATCGGGATCGTTCAGGAACTCGCCTCTTCGTCGCCGACGCGCCCTGCGCGACCCAGTCGCGTTGACGAAGGACGCTCCCAGCGCCACCGCGTTCGCCGCCGTCCCGACCCTCGACACGTTCGCTCTGAACGTCCGCCCGATCACCCTCGAGCGCGGTCGCATCCCCCTGAGCACCGCTCGCGACGCGCGCGTCCACCGTCTCCCCGCGCGTCGTCCGACCGTCGACTTCACGCCATCGTCCGCGCGCCGACGTCCGTCGTCCCCGAACGCGCGCGCGAGGAAGACGCGTACGCCGCGCATCGGCGTCGTCCTTTCACCGCGACCGCGCGTCGCGATGTGTGACGACGCGACCGGAGGTGTCGTCAGACGTCGTCGCGCGCGCGGTGCGTCGTTTGTCATCGTCATGGCGTTCTCGCTCGCGATCGCGCGCGTCCCTTCGCCGCGCGCGCGACTGAGCGATCGCGTGCGCGCGGGTCGATCTTACCGCGCGCGTCGACCGCGTTACGTCGCGCCGAGAGCGAGCCGTGGGGGCGATGAAGGAGCGATGGAGGATCGACCCGACGTCGGCGCGTCAGCGGTCGAGCGCGCGGCGTGGGCGGGTGCGGAGGCCGTGGGGCGGGCGATGGAGCTCACTGGGGGTGGAACTAAACCCGTCATCGCCGGTGGCGCGCGTCCGAGCGACCGTAAGGAGGCTATCGAAGCGATAAGGGAGGATTACGATGAAAACTACTTCGTGAGTGGCGCCGGAAAGATGCGAGCGTACGACGATCAGTGCGAGTTCGCCGATCCATTTGCGTCGTTTCGAGGCGTAGAGCGTTTCAAACGAAATGTGAGTAATCTGGGAGGGTTGATGCGGGACGTGGATCTGAAGATCACGTCCTTCGAGGAGACGAAGGATGGGTTGCAGACGGAGTGGAAGTTTAGTTGCGTTCTCGATCTTCCCTGGAGACCCCTGCTCGCGGCGAGCGGAGGGACCACGCACACGCTCAACGATGATCATCTCGTCGTCAGACACTACGAGCGATGGGACGTCGAGCCCGGTAAGGTTTTAAAGGCGTTGCTCAGACCGGCGTCGAAGATACCGGAGAATCAAGCGGAGGTGTTCATGGCATCGCTCACGAGCGGAGACGTCATCGGAGCGTTGGGTGCCTCCGCGGGTGTTTTATTGACCGTCTCCGCACCGATTTGGGTGACCTCGGCGCTTCTTCGAGCCGTTACGCACACCGAGGCCACGGGACTGGAGTCCGCCTTTGGTGGTTTGTTCGTCTTGGCGTGCGCGGGGCAGATCGCAAAATTTCTCCGAGGAATCGGGATTAGCTAACACTAGGATTTGTTACATTTGACCGCCGCGCTTTGTATTTATCGTCTCGTCATCTTCTGAGCCTTTTGAACGCGCCCCCCTACCGCGTCTTGCGTCTTTCTTTTCAACGTCAGGGTCGATGAATCTTCACGCTTGATTTCTCCTGACGACGCGACGCGCACGGGCACGGCTTTCTCCGCCGCGCTCGTCTTCTTCGGTTCGACGTCAGCCATGCCCGGAATGTAGCCTGGCGTTTTACCCTTGGCTAACAATCTCTCGTAGACCGTGACCAGTTGCTTGCGCACGCGCAAGAGCTCGATTGTTTCCTCGCGAAGCTTTAGCCAACCTGCGCACACCGCATGTGTGCTCATCACAGGGTTTGTCACACCCAAATCCTCAAGGGACTGATCGATGCGTTTAGCGAACCTCGCTCCGCCCTGGGCGGCATTCGCTTGCTCGTTAGCGACGGTAACGAAGTGTTGACCGCGCAGGTACGCCCCCGGCTTTAACGCGCCGCTTCCCTTGACTGGAAGTTCCGGCGCGAGCTGTTCGAACTCTGCGCGAACGTCATCAATCGAAACAGGGTTCTGGACCATGTGCGTTCGCGACGTCGAGAACACGGACACGGCCTTCTGCAACAACGCTTGGTTCTCAGCGCGTCGGCGCTTCTCGATCTCTTTCACCTTGGATAAGATCTCAGCCTCTTCCTTCATTTCTCCGTTGGTTCGATTGAGAAGCGTGTTCAGCGCTACCTTTCTATCGAGCTCGTGTTGCGCATTGAACGGCATTTTCACGATCTGATGCGCCGCCGCCTCCTCAGGAGATTCCGCGCGCGCTTCGATGAGAACCTTCGCAATGCTATAGTATCTCACCTTCAAATCCTCCACCGTGCGATTCGGCCCACCCTCGAACGACCACCGATCGACGACGATGATGAATCTCAGGTCAAATCGCTCGAGCTGTTCAAACAGATAGTCCGTCTCCTCTTTCGACCACGACTCATCGAGATGCCTCAATAACCGCTCGTACTCCTCCGTCGTGTACTTGAACATCTCAATCTTCTTGTTATACTTTGCGAACGCGTAATCTCCTCCGACATCGCCTCCGTTCGTTCCCATCAACGTCGGCTGCGCCCCGCCGACGGCGCGCTTCACCCAGTGCTTCAGCTGCAGTCCGTCCGACCGCGCGCTGTTTCGAAACGGCATCCACTGCCAAGTCACCGTCCGCGCCGTGATCTTACGCTTATCCTTCAACCCGTGCAGGGCGATCGCGCTCGGGGCGATCGCCGCGAGCGCGTCGTTCCCATCGAGCGCGCTCTGGCGATCCTGCGTGATCTGCCACACCTCGCGCGACACCCCTTTCGGCGGTTTCGCCGCCGGCTCTCGCGGTTTCTTCCCCTTCGTGGACGCGGTACCGCCCCTGGGAATGCCCAAGATGTCCTTCGCGTCGCTCATCGTGCGCGCGCGCGCGCGGTCGGGCGTCGAGGAGTGCGCGACGGGGCGCGTACCCTCGAATTCGTGCACATTTTGGGAATCGCAGTCACCGCGACGCTTTGGTCACACGCACGCGCGTCGAACGTTCGCACGCCGCGGTGCGTCGCGCGCGTCGAGGCCGCGACGAGAGCGGCGGCGATGAGCGAGGCGACGACGTATCTCGAGCGATTCGTGGACAGTGCGTGCAGCGAGCGACGACGGGGACGACGACGAAGGGATCGAGTGTGCGATCTCTGAGAGTGCGATTTGGAGTGGGAAGCGACGCGACGCGCCGCGATTGGGAGACTGACGCGCGCGTGGTGTGTCGACGTAGATCTCGCGGAGGTCCCGGCGGAGTTACAGCGCATTTTACAGACGATCGGGGAGCTGGACCAGAGGAACGCGCGGTTGCGAGACGTTGCGCAGGCAAAGGTGGATGAGTGCGCGTCGGCGCCGAGCCAGAGCTCGAGAGGTGCGCGAAGCGCGGATGTGGACGCCGTGAACGCGTTGAAGCAAGAGATCGAGTCGATTCACAACACCATGTCGCTGGTGTCGAACGAAAAGGTTCGCCTGGCGCAGATGGCGCTGGATTTGGTGAAGGGGAACGCGACGGCGCTCGATGCCGAGTTAAAGACGTTTCATAAGGAGTTAGAGGATCAAGGAATCAATCCCGAGGAGGACGTAGACGATGCATACGCCGTAGCGGCGGCGCATCACGCGCACAAGCACCAAAGGCATTACCAACATCATCATCACCATCATCACCGACCGGCGCCTCAACCTCAACCGAGCGGCCAACCGGTGAGCTCTATAGACGCCGGCGACCTCGTCGCGGCGAACGTGGGGGCTTTGAATCAAAGCGCCGGTGGTCAAGAATGGATCGTGGCCAAGGTGACGAGATACTCTCCGTCCGAGGGAGCGTTTGAGATTGTCGACGCGGACGAAGAGGCGGAGAAGCACGTGTATCGCTTGCCGCAAAAGTTCGTCATCCCGCTTCCTAAGACAGCGTCCGTGCGCGAGTCGCAAAACTTTCCCGCGGGGACGAGTGTTCTCGCCGTGTATCCGAACACGACGACGTTTTACAAGGCGAAGGTCGTACAGCCGGCGAGGAGGCTACCGAACGCCGAGTACAGCGAGTTCGTGTTAGAGTTCGAGGACGACGGCGACGCTGACGGGCAGGCGCATCGTGCCGTGCCGTTCCGTCACGTCGTTCTCTTCCCAAGGTTGATGTAGTAGCGCGACGACGTGTAGTGAGTGTAATGATGGATCGTGTATAGCGTAGTATTAATGGGCTCACGCAGCCTTCGGTCGACGCGCTATCGCTCGAAAACGCGTGTGAATGCACACTCTCCTCCGTCACGGAATCGCCACACCGCTGTGCGTGTGCACCCACGTCTTAAGCTTATCGTACGAGATCGCGCCCTCGTTCTTCGACCCCTTCACCTCGACCCCATCCTTGAACATGATGAGCGTCGGCAATCCGTACACGGAGTACTTCTCCACCAACGCCGGATTCCCATCGCACTCCACCTTGACCACCTTAATCGCACCGTCGTACTCCTTATCCGCCTTTTCGACAATCTTACCGATCAGCTTGCACGGCCCGCACCACGACGCCCAGAAATCCACGAGCACGGGCGCGTCCGCCCTCAAGACTTCGGCGTCGAACGACCCCTCGTCCACGTCCGCGATCGCCCGCGCCGTGGTCCACGACGCCCGCGCGTTCGCCCGCGCCGTCCCCACCCCTCGCGATCGCGTCGCGCGCGGCGTCCGCGACGCGATCGACGCCGCGCACGTCGCCATCGTTCGTCGCCACGACGTGCCGATCGCGTCGTCCGCGTCGCCCCCTCGACGACGTCGCCCCGTCGACGTGGCCGGTTGCACGGTCGAGGGGTGGGTGCACCTCGTTCGCCTCGCTCGGGACGACGACCGCCCTCGTACTCGGCGTCGACGAACGCGATGTGGCGATCTCGAGCGACGATCGCGATGGATGTCGACGCCCACCCGACGCGAAGCGTACCCCCCCAGGTCGAGTCATGACTCAAGATGGCGTGTCCAAGGGGACGCCGACGCGCGTTTTTACCTTGTACTAAGTACAGTGTTAGTGCAAATTTCGACCCGTTTTCGCACCGCGCGACGCGCGCGCGCGGAGAGGTGCCCTTCTTGGGTCCCCCACGAGTGCGCACTCGTGGAGACCCCTTCGTCGCAAAAGCGCCGCGCGCGCGCCATCGGTCCGATTTTAGCGCCGATGTCACGCGCGCGCGTGATCGCCCTCTGCGGTCCACGATACGCGCGCGCGTGCCGTCGATCGCGCGCGTCGATCACGTCGGCCACGTCGGCGACGGGACGGCGCCACGCGTCGCGCGACGCGTCGATCGATCGCACACGCGCGCGCGCGACATCGAGGACGGGCGCTCGCGACGGCGTCGACGGAGACATCGCGCGCGCGTCCTCGCGCGGTGGTGAGAGACAGAGCGCGCGCGCGCGGCGGCGGCGCGGGCGGACGGGCGCGCGCACGACGGTTGGCGGCGGCCCGTTGACCTCTGGCGAACGCGGGCGTGTTTTCGGGCGACGACGGCGGTGGGGCGCGCGACGAGGGGTGAAGCGCGTCGACGACGCGTTCGATGAGCGACGTCCATCGGTGCGCGAGCGATGCGGGCGCGACGACGGGCGCGACGATTGGCATTTTCGGACGAATGTCGAGCGATGCGTGTTTCGTTTTCGGGCGCGCGATTGAATTCTCAGACTCACGCGAAGTGGTTTCGCGTCGACGCAGGATGCGATACGCGCAGAGCGAGGGGATGAATGATTCGGAGGCACAGCGTCGCGCGGCGATGTTTGTGTCGGTGCGACCGCTGGCGTACGCGAACGAGGTGAGTGATTCGTTTGAACCGACGACGCGCTCGGCGTTTGTTCAAACGAGGAATTCGACTAACGAGGAGGCTTCTCAGATGTTCGACGCGAAACCAATGACGGAGAGTAAACTCATGCCTTGGGCGAGGCCGACGTATCAGGCGCTGGCGGATGCGCAGGCGGAGGCGCACGCGCACGTGTCACGACGAAACGAGCGACACGGTAGCGTAGAAAGTGACCACACAACGCACGACGGCGGCGGGCCGCGAGGCGAAGGCGTTCGAAAGTCGGTCGATGAGGAGGAGGAGGACGATTCGCCGAGACCCGAAGCCGGTGTGACGTGTGCGTGCTGTCGAACGCAAAAGACACCGCTGTGGAGAAACGGCCCGACGGGTTCGAAGACTTTGTGTAACGCGTGCGGCGTTCGTTTCAAGGCGGGCCGCGTCGTCGCCGACGACAATGGCAACGTCTTCCCGCTGGCCCCGCAAGGGCGCAAGCGTGCCGTTCAGATCACGCCGCACCGTGGCGGCGAAAACTACGTCGGACCCCCCTTCAAGCGCGCCAAGCCGAAGCACTCCTCGTCCACTTACACGCACCACCTGGAGGATGGAAGACTGTACGAGCTTAAGCGCCGACCGCGCGCGCGATCGCGCACGTCGCCCGCGCGCGCATCACGATTTGTAAATCGTCGTCGACGGATTATGACGCGCACGCCATCGTCGCCGAATGCGATCGCGCGCGACGCCGAACGTCGGACGCCGACGCGCGCGCTCGACGGGGGTATTTTTCATCCATCCGATCGCGCGCGCGCGGGCGACGCGGCGGTCGCGCGGGCGTCGAAAGGCGGCGCGGTCGCGTGACTCGCGACCG